TAAACTATTGAATTCTATACTTTAAATGGGTGCGTTGCATGGTATGTGGATTACATTTTAATCAATCTTAAAAATGTGTACTCATTACAAATGTGTACTGTATAAGGAAAGCAATCTTTTCTTCAATCACCTTCTATTTTTAAGCTCAGGGATTGCTTGCACTGTCTTGTTCCTATCTAAATTCTTTTAGGGAGTTAAGGGAGAGGTCAAAGCTTTTCTTGAGTTTGCTGGCTTAGTTGTCCTCAGCTTAAAACAGTCCACACGCCAAAGTGGCACATTTTGGGGAAGTTCATTCTAAACCTCTTCAGAAATTTTATAAAAATAAAAAATAGATGTGTCTTAGGTAGTATTCCTCTTTCAGAGTTCAAGGAATAAATACAGGCATGTAAATTTATCAGCTAACTGGCCAGCCACTACACAATATGTGTTACTACTTCCTATTTCACAGCTGGGAAGACCTAACTATTATCTTAGACTACTCAGAGACTTAAACGCCCAAGATTATCTCCAGGGTTTGGCTTTCTATATTTAGTCTGGGGCAAAACAGAAGATTAGGGCAGGGTGATGTGATTCAGGGCTAACCCAAGTGCTAGTAAACTGAACAAACAGAACTAAATCCAGGTCTCCAAGTACAAATTGTCTCCCACAGATAAAGTGGACGAAACTACTTTTTAGAAAATATTTCTGGAACAATTTTTCGCATCATGTGGTCCCAGAAACCCCTGGAGTCTGAATCTCCTACAGACTATTCCTAGGACCTACCCCGGGGTATATGAGTGGCATTTAAACAATGTACTTTGAGTCATAGTAGAACTCATCAAATTTGTCTTATTTTCCTCCTCCTGATGTGAAATCACTTGCACTTTCCAGTTCCTCTTCCCTCTCCTAAAGGCAATTTCTTAGAAATGGGGAGCAAGCTTTCCCCCCCACTCCCACTTCCCCTTTAAATAGCTCCTTCAGCATTTACTGGCCACAGACAAAGAAGATTTTTCCAAGAGCCAATCAGCTTGGACCCACCTTTTGAGACGTGCTGAGAAGCAGTTTGCAGTAATGAGGTCAGTGAGATAGCAATGCATAGATACCATTGATCTTGAATGCAAAACAGCGTTTCTCAGGTTCAGACAAGGTCCTGAGTTGTCCTGTTACTTCCGGACTAATTGTGCCTTCATCAGCATGGCACTTTTCATTTCCGGGGCTTTTTCTGGAGTAGGAGCTCAGCTCTCTAAACTTCTAGAACTGTTCCCTGGAACACCTGGTGGAGCTGGGAGCTGGGTGAGGGATGTTGGGCAGGAATGGTTAGATCCACTCAGGCACAAATTTTGCTGATTCAGTGGCAGAACTAAGGAATCCCTCTTTATGGGGTTTTGTTGTTCTCCTTTGAAGGACCGAAGGCCTTCTTCTTGTCATTTTCTTTTCAGCAGACATTATTCAAGGTGGAATTGGAAATCCAAACCCAACTCACGTTGAGAGGAATTGAGCCCCGAAAATTTGATTACTTCAAGGTGGGAATTCTTACAGATGGGCATTTATTTTTTCCATTTCTTATATGAAAAACAAACCGAAGGCTTAGAGTTGATTTTTATTGCTGTGATGAGAGCTGGAAATCATTTCTCTTCAAAACATAATGGCCTAATCTCTTGTCTAATACTGATCTAATTTCTAGTGGTAGAAAGCAGAGACATGGTTGCCGGAACATGGAGGCGGGTGGGGCTGGAATCCACTAGGAAGGCACACGGGAAACTGAAGATCATGCAGATAGTCTACAAGGAGTGACTCCTGGTGGTTACTTGGGCATATACAGTTGGCAAAACACATCGGACTGTACACTTAAAATGGGTGCATTTTATTGTAGGTAAACTATAACCTTAGCACACGATTTCAAAAAGTGCATACAGACCAGTTAGAGCTCTGACAACACACAGAACCTCAGAAGAGAGAGGACAGAGAAAAAAGAAGCCTTTCCCATCAAACAGCTGTGGGAGGGATTGATTGCCTGGGGAGGAAGGATCCAAGTGACCACTCAGGCAGTGAGGAAAGGAAGACCCACGGGCTCCCAAATCCCCTGCAGCGGAGAGGAGTAAGAGGAGCTCACGGCCAAGTGCCTCAGGTCACCTTTTCCTGTAGAATGGGCTCCTGGCCATGAGTAATATCAATTGTACCTGCATGAATAAGTTTGACCAGAAAACCTGCCGCTGCCCAGAACCTCGGTCTGTCCAAGAGGTTTTGCAGCGACCTGTGCTTGGGGGTGTCCAGAGCACTGACCTGAGGGCGTCTGAGAGGGGCATGCTGGAGTATCATGGACTAAAGCCCACACCAGCGTGTCCTGTTCCCAGAGGCTGTGTGGGCCACCGGAGTTAGGTGCTCCTCCCCAGCAGTGCTAAACATTGTCAAAGGGAGAGCCACATGGGGAAACGCCCAGCACCTGTTAGCTGGTTCATGGGTGCCCTCCTCTGTCCCATCCACTGAGAAACTCTGTGGTCCCCTTCACCCCCTCAAAATCCACTTAAAATTGTAGCACTAATTTACCAGTAATCACAGTTGTACCAGTTTCTACGCGATCAGTAGTAGGTAGTGTCCTGTTAAGTGCTTTATATACATTATCTCCTATCATCTTTCCCATAGCTCTAGGCAGGAAGAACTGTTATTTTTTTACTAGCCTCATTTTCTAGGTGAATAAGACAGGGTTCAGAGGGCAAATTACTCACCCAAGTGTTTACATACAGTAAGGTCATTACCCAGGTGCCAAAGCATGTCCCAGCTCTGGGCACAAAGGCCAAAAGGGTGAAATGTCTCAATCCTTTCAGTTAAGCTCACGTTGGAGAGAAGGGGCAGGGACTGGGAGGACTAGGCCCTTGGGGTTTTTATTTGGAGGGTGAGGACCACTCTTCGATGGCGACACACTCCTTAGGGCCACACCTTAGATCAGTGGTTCTCAACCTTGGCTGCACATTAGAATCACCTGGGAATCTTTTTTAAAATCCTGATTTCTGGGCCTCATCCTCCGGAAATTCTGTTTCTTTGTTATGGGGTGGGGCCACAACATTAGTAACAAAGAAATAGAATTTCCGGAGAATGAGGCCCAGAAATCAGGATTTTAAAAAGATTCCCAGATGATTCTAATGTGCAGCCAAGGTTAAGGACCACTGCCTTAGATGAAGGTAAGAATGGATCTCCCCATGGCACAGTTTTCTATAATTTGGATGGAAGGAAAAAGTCAGTTCATTCTAGGCCATTTTAAAAGTAAAGAAATGAGGCTCAATGATGTGATTCAAGAAATATCCCAGAGCTGATCAAAGAGCTACCCTAAATCCAGGTGTCCTGTGTTTATTTCCCTCTATTCTAGATTGTCTGATTCACTACATTATCTTTTGCAAGTAAATAGGAAACTGCTTTTCCAAACACCTCTAGGATAGTGTTTCTCCATTTGTGGTACAGGGACTCCTGCAATAGAACAGAAAGAGTCCAACAGCACAGCGCTCGCAGAGCCAAACACTAGGCACTGAGAACTGCAGGGGAGAAATACTGGCTATTTTATGATGAATGGTGCCACCCAGGAGAACAGGAAGCTTTTGAGCAAAAGCCCTAACACCCTGATGGTGTGTAGGTTACAGATTATACAGGGCAAAATCACAAGACACTACGGATTAGGGGGCTCATGATGAGAGCTCCTTGGTCGGAGGTGAGGTCAGGGCAGCGAGTCATTTCTTCAGGTCTTGCTCTGAGATTCTTGCTGGCATCCCTCGGTCTGGTCTCCTGGGAAAGGAGCCAGAGGGCCATTCCCTCTTAAGGGTCAGGAGCTGAAACATAACTAAGGTCAAGATACCAGAGGTCCCCACACTGTGATCATTAGTCAGATTTGGGCTCCTGTCTTCTGCTGCGTGGGGGGATTACCTGGGGGAAAGGCTCATTTCTGAGGGGTGTATCTATAAAGAGAGAGATAATTTCTATAATTAGGATTTAAAGTTAAATTTAATCAGTCATAAGGACCCTGGGTTTCACTCCTGCAACAGTAAATCCAGGGAGTGTAAAAATGCAGATTCCGACCCCGAGCCCCAGCCCACCCCCGGTTGGATCAGGTCTCTAGGAGTAGGGCATGGAAACTGCAAGCCATCTCTAGTGCCTTTTCCAGTCTCTCAAACACAGTTTCAGAACCTGAGCAGAACAATATTCCCGGGCGAGAGTGAGCTGAGCTCTCATACCTTAGTTTCATTTCTCCTCACCAGGAATCCTGACGGCATCGCATCAGTTTCAGTTTCCATTTCTTCTCCATAAAAGCACAGACCTAAGAGCCAGAGCCAGAGCTTGGAAACCTCATCGGCACTCGCTTGCGATCCACCAGCAGAACAGAACATCAGCCTGGACCCCAGCTTCTCAGAATCCCAGGGACACCGCCATCATGAGGTAACGATGGCTGCCTTCTCTGCTAGCAAGTGGAGAGCATTTCTTACAAATCTTGTTCTGGCGGGCAACTCCCAGAATCCTCCTGATTCGGTGTGTGCTTATAGATTACAGATGCGTTGCTCTGAACTTGGTCATGAACCTCTCTGACCAATTCCTGCGTTTTTATTTCTGTCGCTCTGTCTGTTTACTGAGTCTGGCAGCCTAAGGACACGGAGGGAGGTGCTCGCAGGAGCGCTGGCGGCTGCAGCAGGGCAAGGACTGGAGTTTCTGGAGAGAGCCCGAGGGCTAACCTGCTCCGCTCCTTCCAGGCAAAATCTGGGCAATGGGGAGGGACAGCGGAGGTCCTGGTCCCTCTTTTGTGTCTTAGATTTTGTCAGACTAAACCAGCGGTTTGTGAGCGTGGTGGTGGTGGTGGTGGTGGTGGTGGTGGTGGTGGTGGTGATTTTTAAAGTATGCTTGCTTCTCAGCAAATGTGCTAATGACTAATTCAGCGCTACAAAACTGCAATCTAGAATGAGGTCGCTTCTACCTTACCATTGGCTCTTTCAGAATTGAGGAATGCGTCTTCTTAGCAACCTGTCAGACCTCCCCTGTGAGCAGGGAGAGAGTGTTGTAGTTTCAAGCTGTGTTGCAGCTGGCGGGTATAATAAAGCAGAGTGCCCTGTTAGAATGCAAATTACTGGGCCCCGCATTCTGAAGTCCTAATCAGACTTAAAGCCTGGGGAGAGGGAAGGGGGGACAGAATACATATTTAAAGAGGACCACAGGTACTTCCTAGACACACTCAATGCTCCCTGCCGAGTATTTGTGTAAATGGGAGTGGAGGAAGCCCAAAGTGGGTGGCCAGTGGGGGTGTGGGAAGGATGTTCCTATAAAGCAAGGCTTGCCTGTTTAAGGGCTTTTCTGGATGAGAAACTGGTGATTGGAAATCACTTCCAAAAAGTGGTTAGGCCCTTGCGACTCTCCGTGTGGTCTGAATCCAGCCCCCGCTGAGAGGAGGTTATAAAGGCAGCATCCCGGACCTGCTGAGTTCAGCAGTGCGTTTCAGCCAGGTCCTCGGGTGGTGTGGTCCATGTGCATGGGAAAGTGTGAGCAGCCCTGCTATGGACAGTTCCTTGGCTCACTTTTGGAAGAGATGGGCTCCTCGGGTTGTGCCTGTTCTGACCAAACAACTGGCCATGAGTTCTGCCTGCCCCTTCACAGCATCAGTCCCTGTACAAGCTGCCTCAGAGGTTTCTCTGGAAACTCCTCCTCTTACCATTTAAACAGGGCCTCTTCCAGGAACTTTCAAGATTCTAGTCAAGTAATGGCTTTCACCAGGCCCTGGAAGGAGGTGAGGCATCTTCGCTGGGGTCTGTGGGCAGCGCCCCAAAGCTCACCAAGTGACACAAAAAGGTAGCCCTGTAGAAGGTCAATCCAGGTAGGGGAGCAGGAGAAGGAGGAAAGACTGTAAACGGGCTGGTTCTGGGTGTTTCCCAAGGAGTTGCAGTGCTGCTTTTATCTGCTTTGGTCAGCAAAACCTAAAGGCGGCCGTTGGAGGCCATGAGAAATATCTTCCTGGACCTGAGGGACTCCCGCTCCCCAAAGTTTTCTACTAGATACATAGTCTCCAGGAAGGAAGGGCATTCAACTCCATGTTCCACCTGAACGGAGACATTCTCTTCCTCAAGTTACTGCGGCCATCATTCCACCTGCTTGCTTGTCCTCCCTTCACATGTCTGATTTAATTATTGTTCAGGAACTTACTGAATTTTATACATATATATAAAGAGTATTTAGAGCCACTTTCACACACATGATAGAAATTAATAAGCGAGGAAAGCTTGGCAAATGGAGGATTGGTGTTTAGAAAGGCAATTGGGTATTTTAATTAAATCAGAATTATCTTCAGTTGATTTATTTGTATCTACTCAGTTAAATATGTTAATGTTATCCTAAATGTGAATTACATAAAAACATGTCAATATGTCAATGAACAAATAACAAATATACAATGAAAATTTGAAGGTGAAAAAAGCAGAGTATTTCATGTACTTAAATTCACTCTCTCTGGGATCTGGGCTGTCGGGGAGACGGCTTCAATCAGACTGAAACCCAGCTTTCATGTGTCCTGTGTGATGGTGGAGAAGATGAAGAGAAAAGACTAAATCACACAGCATGGTGGCAAACATTCCCTGGGTTTTCATTCTTTTCATGGTTCCTTCTAACCTGACTGTGAGCTCCTAGGGGCAGAGACAGCCAGGATAACCTTTATTTTTCTTAGTATTCCCCAAAGCTCACCAAGTGACATAAAAAGGAGCCCTGTAGACAGTCAATGGATGGCTAAATAAAACTCACTCCTCAGAATGTGTGAGGACTGAGCCCTGACTTAGTGACTGAGCAGCACAAGAGAGATCCCAGTTCTTCTCACCATAGGTTTCGCGTCTCATCACCTTACCCGACCTCCTGCATGTCTGTTCACATGGTGGCAGGGATATGCTTTGTGGGTTTTTACACAGACCATAGCTACAGAAAAGTGAGTCCAGGAAGCAAGAGGAAAGTACCTGCTCTTCTGTCTAGGAAAACTTAGGGGTGTGTATAGTCAGAGTTCTCCAGAAAAACAGAACCCATGAGAGACACATAGATAAGCTGCAGGTTGATGTCAGGCCCAACCCCCAAAAGCTGGGAAGAGGAAGCAAGCATTTGATAAGGGTTGTTCCAGGCTCTTCCATGTTTTGCTGGCCAAGAAGTAAAGTTTTTTGAGCACCACAATGGAGGAAATTCAGTCAGGCAACTGCAGAACCCAGACTTCACTGAAGGCTTGTCTTTCTTCGGCTTGCACTTGAAGGTGAATGGAGGACGGAGAACTCTTGGCTCTTCTACCATCAGCTCTGCCTGGCACTGTGGTCATCAACTTTCCTTAGATCAAAAGCAGGCAGGTACAAGTACTGGGCTCACAGCCTTTGACCTCAAGTTATTTCTAAGTTATTTTGTACATTTTCAGCTGAGAAACCAAACTGGATCTTCATCTTTATGCGCATTTCTTGCAAGGGAAGAGGCTTTATACAATTGGGTGTTTTGCTTTTCCTCTTTGAGAATTTTAACCCTCTTTTGTATTATTTCTACCTAATTTGTAAACATTCATTTTTTTTTTTTTACCTGCCTTTTAAAATACTGCTCTTATTTTTTTTTTAATAAAGATTCTCACCTATGCTGGTATACATACATGCATATATATGTATACATATGCATATATACAGGGTTGGGCAAAAGTAGGTTGACAGTGAGTACGTGAAACATGGTTTATTCTTATATTATTCTTTACCAGTTATTGTATTATTTTCCATAGGAATAATTATCAACCTACTTTGCCCCACCCTGTACATATATATGTAAATAAGCTAGAGAGAGAGAGATTTATTATGAGGAATTGGCTCACATGATTATGGAGGCTGAGACATCTTTGATTCACTGTCTGCAAGCTGCAGACACAGAAAAGCCAGTGGTATAAGTCCCAGCCTGAGGGGATGTTCCAGCTCAACCAGAGAGAGCAAATTCACCCTTTCTCTGTCCCCCTTGCCCCCCGCCCCCAGGCCCACAATAGATTGGATATTGTGGAGGGCAATCCACTGTACTCAGTCCACTGGCACAAATCCTAGGCTCTTCTGGGAACACAGATACGCCCAGAACTGATGTTTAACAAAAAGTCTGGGCATCCCATGGCCCAGTCAAGTTGACACACACAATTAACCTGTGATTGCACCCACGGTGCGATGCTTGGCAGGTACACCTCAGAGTGACCATGTTTATTTTCTCCACAGTGAGGTCAACAAGAACTCTCTGGAGAAAATCCTTCCACAGCTGAAATGCCATTTCACGTGGAAATTACTTAAGGAAGAAAGTGTCTCCCATGATCTAGAAGATAGAGTGTGTAACCAGATTGAATTTTTAAACACTGAGTTCAAAGCTACAATGTACAACTTGCTGGCCTACATAAAACACCTAGATGGTCAGAACGAGGAGGCGCTGGAATGCTTGCGGCAAGCCGAAGCGTTAATCCAGCAGCAGCACCCTGACCAAGCAGAACTCCGAAGTCTGGTCACCTGGGGCAACTACGCCTGGGTCTACTATCACATGGGCAGACTCTCCGAAGCTCAAGTCTACGTAGACAAGGTGAAACAAGTGTGTGAGAAGTTTTCAAATCCTTACAGCATTGAGTGTCCTGAGCTTGACTCTGAGGAAGGGTGGACCCTGCTACAGTGCGGAGCAAAGCGAAATGAAAGGGTGAAGGCGTGCTTTGAGAAAGCTCTAGAAGAGAAACCCAACAACCCAGAATTCTCCACCGGGCTGGCAATCGCGATGTACCGTCTGGATGATAAACCACCGAAGCAGTTCTGTGTCAGTGTTCTGAAGCAGGCCATCGAGCTCAACCCCGACAATCAGTACATCAAAGTTCTCTTGGGCCTGAAATTGCAAAAGATAAATAAAGAAGCTGAAGGGGGGCTGTTGATAGAAGAGGCCCTGGAGAAAGCTCCTGACCAAACAGATGTCCTCCGCAGCGCAGCCAAATTTTACCAAAGAAAAGGTGATCTAGACAAAGCAATTGAACTGTTTCAAAAGGTGTTGGAATCCTTGCCCAACAATGCCTGCATCTATCGCCAGATCGCGTGCTGCTATCGGGCAAAAGAGAAACAAATGCAGAGCACAGAGGACTCTGAAGCTGGTGGGAATAGAGAGAAGATGGAAGAACTACGGAAATCTGCTATGGACTATTCGAATAAAGCTATTGAGAAGGGACTGAACCCTCTGTATGTATATTCTGATCTCACTGAGCTGGAATCAGAAGAATGTTATCAGACAGCTTTCAATAAGGCAGAGAGAAAACAACTGCATCAGGGCTATTCCAACTTTCAGGAGCAAAATGAGAAGTCTGAAGACACTCCTGTCCAGCATCATTTAAGCACAAAATCTACTGTGAACGGAGCTGAAAGGCAGCTTCCACGGAATTCTTGGTATCTCCAAGGATTAACTCACAAGCTGAATGGAGATCTGCTGCAAGCAGCTGAATGTTTTGAGAAGGAACTGGGCCACCTCCTGAGGAACAGCCCTTCCGGCATAAGCAATTTTTTCCTGCCAGCAGAGGAGCTTGAAGAAGGCAGAGAGGAAGTGGGCCAGGACGCAGGCAGCTCCACTCTCAGCAAGCTCTCTGATCCCTCAGCTGACACAGAGGAGTGAAAGGAACAGAGAGGGGGAAGCCTGGAATGGTGGTTGTGAGGGGGAGAAGGGTGGAAAGGCAGGAGTTCCCTAATCTGAGCTTGATGAGCGAGGTGGTCTTGTTTATGGCTTTCCGGTAAATGGTTAGAGAGTTGTTTTCTCATGTCTGTCTCCCTTGTTCCATACCAGTCACACTCAATTGTCTTGTAACATATGACACCCAGGAACAGCGCTTCAGCCCTGGGAGGTGTGATTATCTCAGTTTGCACTCAGTTCACCAGAAATCCCCCGTTTCTGCCCTGCTTGCCAAGGGTCATAGCTGGTAGACTGCCTACCAACAGAATCTCACCTCCTCACCCCATTACTTTTTAACCTTCTGGGCCTCCTAGAAGACTAGCTTTTGACTAAAACCCTGCAATATACCTTCCATGTTGTGCTTGACCTCAGCCATGTATATATACGTATTTTTGATAGTGATACTATAGTAAATATGTATTGTTGCTAATAATGCTACAATAAATGTCAAAATTTCTACTCAGGATAGAACTGTGTGGTTTGCATGTGTGATTACAAGTAATATTAACTCTCCAAGTTTCTCTTGTTAGGGATGGTGGGTACTTACTACGGCTGTGACACCCTATTCTCAACATGTCCATTTTAGCTCCTCCTTGGAACTAACACTCACCCCATCCTAGGGCTATGGGAACTATGACTCTCACTGCAGCCCAGGAGCCAAACCCGAGCCCAGTGCCCAGTTAGCAGCTGCTGCTGTAGACCAGGGTTGCTGTGCACACACGAATACCTTGGCAATTGCTTCCCTGCTAAATACCATTTCAGTCCCCTCCCCCCCCCCCCCGCCTCCCATCACACACACACACACACACACACACACACACACACACACACACACTCACCATGGTTATGGAGAAACACAGACTCCAATTTGAGATAATAAACAGAAGAGTTTTGATGTCCCTGCTCCTTTCCCCCTGCTTAAAGTATGTGGAAACTTACCTGCAACTGGGATCTACCAGGAGATAGACTCTTATCCCAGATATGCCTAAGTATTGATGCTGTGTCCCTAGCCCATGTTCCCATGGGTTGGGAACCTAAGGGCATGCCACTTGTGAAAGAAGAGTCTTACAAGGGGAATCCTCACAAGAAATTGGGTAGGTTAGAGAGAGAGCCACACTAGGCCAGTCTTTGCCTGTCTTTTCTTTGCTCCACCAGATGGAGAGAGCATTTCCCAATCGCTGCAGCATTGTTTCTTCCAGTGAGAAGACTGAGAAGTCAGCAACAGAAATCCCCAGGACAGTTCCTGGGTCTGGTGGTTTTCACTAGAAGGATTCATAGACCTCAACACAGAGTCATATTCATGGCTAAGATTTATGACAACAAAAAGATACGGAGCAAAATCAGCACAGGGAAAAGGTGCATGGGTCTAAGAATAATGAAAATGAGGCACACGTTTCCCAAAGTCTCTCCCAGTAGGATCATACAGCACCTGCTTGATTCCTCCTACATCAAATTGTGACAACTCTTGTGAGCTTGTTAAAGACTCCATGGCCAATGGTTTCATTGGAGACTAGTTACATAAGGACCCTGTGCTTAGCACATAACAAAATCCCAGACTCCCAGAAGGAAAGCAGATGTCAGCGTTAACCACATCATTTGCATAAACAAGAACCATGCTTCTCGGTTAGGGAATGGTGAGAACACTCCAAAAATCCAAGTTCCCAGATGCCAGCTAAGGGCTGACCTTGTAAGCAGGCCTTTCTAAGGTCATGGTCTCTGGCGTAATGCTTATCTGCATCGTCCATCCCCTTGGCCCTTAGCCAAGATGTCTTTGCCATCCAAGTGTTATCAATAGCATACCACATGACAGTGTGAGACCTTACAGTATTGGCCTCAGTTATGCCCTTTAGGGAATCCTTAATTCAGCGGTTCTCAACCTGTGGGTCGCAATCCCTTTGGGGGTCAAACGACCCTTTCACAGGGGTCGCCTAAGACCATTGGAAAACACACATATAATTACATATTGTTTTTGTGATTAATCACTATGCTTTAATTATGTTCAATTTGTAACAATGAAATTGGGGGTCACTACAACTTGAGGAACTGTATTAAAGGATCGCGGCATTAGGAAGGCTGAGAACCACTGCTTTAATTAATAAAGTCTGTTTTTTGTCAGGTCACTTCCTTCTTGAGTTTCTTTTCTATCCCTTTTACCTGGTGGCACAGCACAACCCTGACCAATAGACTGACCTGGCTGCCTTCCATGCTCATCAGAAACACACCTAAGAAGTACAATCTCAGAAGATACACGTGGTGCCCTGGAAACAGAATTTACAATTGTTTAGTTATCCCAAGCAGGGCATACCTCCGTCAGGCGGTACAGGTTAATAGGCCCCCCAGATGTGGCCTTCCACTGTAGGGCTGCCCATCCTGGGGTTTCAGTCTAGTCTAAGAAAATCAGTCGAGTCCTTGGTTTTAGAGGGACTGCCTGACAGTTCCAAACATTTGCTCATCCCTGATACCAGTTCATTTGCCTCAGGAGTAAAGATGACATCTAAGGTTTTCTGGGTGAAATGTTCAGGAGCTGGCCCCCAGTCAGCCACCCCATTGCTGTCCTCCATGTTCATTGGCTCAGCAGTCTGAATTCAAGCACTAGCATAAGTTGGAAAGGTCAGATTTCCTTCGGAAAGAAAGGAAAGCTTCCCGGAATGGTTCTGAAAAACAAAGATCATTAATGCCCCTCCCTTCCCCGTCCCTCCCTAAATGCTGAATTTTTATTTATCTTCATTGTTACAAATCAAAGCGCCTCATTCAACACTCATAACTTTTTTTTCAATTTTCCCCACTCTCTTTCACCCAGACCTTTCAACTTTGACAGACTATTTGCAAGAGAGACAAAAGTGTTTTCATAGGAAAACATTTTATACAACTTAACCAGAAAGAGGCATTGTATTTACAAATGAGTCAAAGTCCTGAATTTTTTAAAAAAAATTCAAAATGGGTTTCCATTACTCCTCACCCCTCCATCCTGATCATGTATGTGGTGAGCCTAAAGAAGAGTGATTGTTTTCTGGGGTCACTTGCATTTAACAATCAGACTATGCACCTTACGAAGGTGTGCATACTAGGACAAAGGTGAGGGCCATGGAGTCGGGCTAGCAATCCATTCTCCCAGACCTCACCTATTTGGAAAAGCTGAAAAGAGCAAGTCAACAACATTGAGAGAGCCTGGAGAGGGGTCAAGAGTTCAATCTGTCAGGAGCGGGAGGAGAGGGTCACGCTCCCTGTCATGTGTCCTCTCCCAACTTGCAGGCTTCAGCAAGAATCACTGGTCAGCAGCGTAACTAGCCTCTGTATCCTGAGGCCTATTCGGAAAAAGCAGGCATAGGATGAGCTCCCTGCCCGCCCCCTCAGCCTGAAAGCAGAAGACAAATTCTCCATGTAAACACCCCCCACTACCTCCACCCCCCTACCCCTGCCCCAGCCGCCAGATCCTATACCAGGAAGGGGTAACACTCTTATTATCAGAGAGGAGATGGTACCAAAAGGAGTATAACAAACAAACCTTGTCTTCCTAGCTCTTACCATCCATTAATTTCCCCTATATATTTACTTCCCCACAATCTGCAGCCCCTGGAAGCTTAAAGTCCCTATCCTTTGTCTTGCCAATTTTCTACCAATGTATTTTCCTTTTGTTAGGGTGCTATAGAAGCCCAAATTCTGAGTTACTCACTACTGGATATCTCCATGAATATGCATGATGCACATGTTATTGAACTTCTGTTTGTTTTTCTCTTGTTAATCTGTTTTTTGTCAGTCTAATTTTCAGGGCCCCATCAAAGAACCCAAGATGGACAGTGGAAAAAGATGTATTCCCTCCCTTACAATAAAAATTGAAAAAGAGAGAGAGAGAGAGAGAGAGCGAGCTGACGTGCCACTATCTATTTCAGATGGTCAATCAGAGACATGCCCTTTCCTGTGGGCATTTGTTCGTGACCCAGGAAGTTGTGCAGGCATCCATGGTACTTTTATAAATCAGGGTAAATTAGGGCAGTGAAACCCTTCTTATGATAGTGGCATGGTGCATACATGATGTCACATACAATACAAAAAAATGAACTCCAATGTGAACTATGGATTTTAGTAATAATGTATTAATATTGGTTCATCAGTAGGAACTACAAAACCGCAGAATACAACCACACCCATGGAGGGGTGTCCTAAAAGTGGGAATGTCCCAGAGTTTGCTTCTGTTCGCTGAGCCCTCTTTCAGGTCAACACAGGACAAGCCACGGCTGAAACAGCCCAGCAGCAGTCAGCCCTGCCCAGGTTTCAGCTTGGAGTCAGGGCCAGGCAGTCAGGACGTGTGAATTCCAGATTTCAAGAGTCAGCTGCTTTTCTTCCAGCAGCAGCAAAGCACAAAGAAAACTGGCTCCCAGAGGCAGCCAGGTGATTGAGGCTTATCATGCAGTGTTGATAAACCATTTGCAGGTCCGTGTGTGTGTGTGTGTGTGTGTGTGTGTGTGTGTGTGTATGTGTGTGTGTGTGTGTGTGTGTGTCTATTATAATAAAAGCCTAATATGCTAAGTGTCCGGTCATTCAGAGCGTAATATGCTAATGATATGCTAAGGCCATTCAACCGCTCGCTATGATATGCACTGACCACCAGGGGGCAGATGCTCCAACCGGTAGGTTAGCTTGCTGCTGGGGTCCAGCCAATCGGGACTGAGCAAGATGGGCCAGACACGCCCTGGAGCCCTCCCACAGTCCCTCCCCAGCTGGCCAACCTCCTGCATCCTTCCCCGGCCCTGATCCTGCACTGGTGGGGTCCCTCGGCCTGGCCTGTGCCCTCTCACAATCCAGGACCCCTTGGGGGATGTCAGAGAGCTAGTTTCAGCTTGATCCCACAGGCCAGGCCAAGGGACCCCACTGGTGCATGAATTCATGCACTGGCCCTCTAGAGTGTGTGTGTGTGTGTCTGTGTGTGTGTGTGTGCATGTATACATCAATATATATTGATTTCAGAGAGGAAGGGAAAGGGAGAGATTGAAACATCAATGATGAGAGAGAATCATTGATTGGCTGCCTCCTGAACGCCCCCTACTGGGGATTGAGCCCACAACCTAGGCATGTGCCTTGACCAGAATTAAACCCGGGTCCTTTCAGTCTGCGGGCCCACACTCTATCCAATGAGCCAAACCGGCGAGGGCAATCATTGGCAGATCTAATCCCTCTCTGCAGGTCTCAAACCTGACAGAATGAATTTGCTGACATCATGAAGTCAATCATTTTTTCTACGGCTTCATAGAGTGGTATGGTGAATCCTGTCTCCAGAAACACATGAAGTCGTCCCTCCCCTGCCTCCCGGACCCTGAAATCTGGCTCACCCCTCAGATCAAACACACTGGAATGCCAAACAGTCCCTCTCAAAATCTCGCTGAGGACATGGGAAAATATTTCCTGCTCAGCTGTTGGATCTGGCCAACCATAACCCTCCTTGCCCACACCCAGCTCTTTCTAGCCT